CTGTTGTATCTATGTTTTTAAAAATTCGAATAAGAACATTTTTAGTAGCCTCGGAAAATGTCTAAAATTTTGCGCAGTGTTTTATTAATGTAAAATCTATTAACAGTTAAACCTCGAATGCTTTGTCGTTGTTTTTATTTAACGATTCATAGAACCTTAATTTCTATGGCTCTATGAATCTTTCTTTGAGATCATTGAAAGAGTTCTTTAATCTCGCTTGATTGTTGTAATACCGATTGAAAGAGTGTTGTTGCTGTCACGTGTTCTTTTGCGGTTTCTCAGCCCATCTTGAGACAATTGTGTCCAAAACTCATAATCTGTTCACCACTGATACAAATATTAAATATTTGATGGCATAAATATTATATACATTTTTGTATGTATATTTATAATATGCAAATACATACGTATGTATACAAGAGTATAAAATACCTACATATGTATATTTGCGTACGTATATGTTCCGTTTGAGAATCAAGTGTTCCCTAAATTTTAGATCTCACTCAGTGTATTAAAGAAACGGAATCCCTTACAAGGCACGAATGTGAAAACCTATCATATCTTAAGATTGCGCATACACCGTTAATATAACGTGTTCGTTGTAATTTTCAGCTCGTTCTAACGTTTGAGAGGCACGTATTATGTGAGGTGAAACTTGCAACGAGGGAAAACGAAGATGTCCGGCATCAGCGTGGCCGCATGGCTGCTCAGCGCCGTCGCTTTCGCCGCGATTAATAACGGTGAGTTGCATTATAAAACGCTTATCGCGTGAATTAATAATTATCCGGCAGCGAATCGGCTGAAGTTTTCAAAGAGAGACTGCCACAGTTCGGAATTTCACATAATACAAATATTTGACTCTACCGAGTTTAGTATGTAGTTTTTAAAGCGAAATTTTCAAAATTCAGATAGTAGTTTTAGAGAAGTTGCCGTACAATTTCGTTTAGCGTGATAATATTGTGAGAATTAAAATCGTTTCGTGTTTCCTCGATGATTTTCTACTGTCTATAATTTTCAAACAAATATTTGCCACCCTTATTGAATTTCTTATACGCGTGCATTGTCTTTAAGAAGATATACTCCGATAGCGGCGCAAAATGTAAATGTTAACCACAAAACTAATCAAAAATATGGGTTTATGGGATCACAATTTTCGTCCTTATACATACAAGAATATTTTTTGATTGTCAGATATCTCTTTAGAAAGAGGAAAGTTAAATCTGGCGTGCTCTTTAATCATAATATACTGATATTTAGTGATATGAGCGTTACAAAATAAATGAAATATCGTAGTTATAATACCTTTGTTTATAAGCAATTTTATGTCCGAAAAAAATTGTTTTGAACGAGATCAAGACCAGAGCACGTCAGATTTAACTTCCGTGTTTTCAAAGAAGTACCTGCCGACCTAAAAACGTTCTCATGTCAGGACGAAAAGTATAGTCTTGTAAACTTATATTTTGCACTTTTCTGTCTGATTATCAATAAAACACAGCAAAAAAACATCGAAATTTTACCGATAAATGTTAGAAAAGTCAAGTGACTACCGTATCCCCTTAAGTGAAATATTGAAATCTTGAACAGTCATTTTTTTGGAACATGCTTCACATACAGTTTCTACTCGCTTATGTGAGCAATGATCAATGTACAATTCTTTTATTTACAAGTATAAAACGTATAGTAATCTAATCTAGTCTACAAGGTTGAAAACAATTCGACGGTTAATCATGATAACATCGTGATATACAATGCCTTGCTTTCTTAACAATTCTCCACTATCTTGCATTCTCTCTACTGTAAACTGGGAGATTTTAATTGGAAATGTGATGCGTTTCACCGGATGGTATAAAATCACAATTGGGAAGCTGGAATCGTTAAAGCAGACGTGAACGTAACAGTCTTCGTAGCGAGTAGTTTCAAATAAAGCCATACTTATGCAATACTCGAGATCGTATGTACAGCTAGTAACAATGAAATTGAGCCAACTATGTGCATGTGTGAGTTTTCCCTAGGGGGACAAAATTCAAAACGAATAATAAGTCTACGTCTTATTTCTTCAATGTTGGATTTGACATCGATACTGTTAGATTTTGACATAATTTTAACATGTCAAAATAAAAACAATTTTAACCCTTTCGCTACGGCAGTCCGTTCCGCGGAATCACTTTATATTTCTTTTTTATTATTTTTTTTTTTAGATACTTTATATTATAATCCTTGTTTTCTATTATAGTTTTGTGCCTTACAAATACTTGTATTGTATTGTTGTATTGTATTGTATTGTTAATTTACCATCCAATAGAAAAAAATTGAAGATTCTTATTTCGTATGTAAAATATGCAGGATTTAGTTCAGTACGAGCTATTAGATTCAAACGATATTCGGACGCCGATTATAGTCGGCACCCGTACACACAACACGTCGCGCGGCCGCCGACTATAGTCGGTGTCCGTAGCGAAAGGGTTAACGTACGCTCATCACTACCATGTACATTAAAATTTTTTTTACTTTGACGCGTCAAAATTATGTTAAAATCCAACAGTGTTGATGCCGGATCGAGCATTGAAAAAACAAGACGTAGACTTATTACTCGTCTTGAATTTTATCCCCTAGGGGAAACTAACACATGCACATTGCTGGCTCAATCAACAAACACTAGCTGTAAAAGGTACTTAAAACGAGGTTTTTTATGCATAGCTTTTGAAGGTTTTGAAGCTAGCTTTCAGTATAGATGATTATAACTACAAATCTAGTTGAGATACTTTAAAACTTACATTTGAAATTGTAAAAATAATTTTACTTTACCCTTGAAGATGAAACGTGGAACAGAGCATTTTATTAAACTTGAAGTGTTATCGATTTATTTATATCACGCTAGTGTGTTTGTCGCTGTATAACTATAATGAAGACGTAGACTATAACATTTTGGAAAATGGTCACATGGTGACAGAGACAAGAGCAATACGTGTCAACGAGGTGTTTGAAAAAGATCATTGCTTTCGTAGAATAAGACAAGACAGGATCATAATTGAGGAAATCAAGATACAAATACAGAAACTAAAGAAGAAAGAACCAGCGAGAGCAAGCGGCCTGGAAAATAAATTGAGGATATGCGGAGAAAGGACGATAATGAAAAGACTAATGGCTATTCAATAAAGTATGACAGAAGAAGGCTTCCCAAAGTGACGGTGTCTTAATACCAGTCTTCAGAAGAGGAGATAGAAACAGGGTAGAAAATTATAGAAGAATAACACTATTAGAAATCATGTATGTTGGGTGTTGGGAGATAAGCTGGAAAAAAAATAGAAAGAAATAACATGTTGGAAGATACGCAAGTAGGTTTCACAAAAGATAAGATAGATAACACTTTCATATTAAATTATATAGCTAATAGACAATTGAAAATGAGAAATAAAAAACTTTATGAATTCTTTTTATTTCACAAAATCAGCCGACTCAAATTAGATAAAACTATGGAAGAGAAAGAGATAAGCAGAAAACTAAGACAAAGAATAACAGACAGATAGAAAAAACAAGGTACACATGTAGTAAGAATAAATGAAGAACACTCAGGAAAATTGTGAACAAGCAAAGGTGTCAAACAAGTCTGCTCATTAAAGGTCTATCTACACTAACGTCACGTCAATGTAATGTCACCGCCACGTAGGGTCTCCGTAGATCGTAGGGCGTACGTTCAGCAACGTAACCAGTGCTGTAGTCTTTAGGACAGGGTATATGGAAAAGCGTGTAAAAGCAGGGAGCTCAGGGGCCTACGTTTGACACTGAATCGGCAGGCGGACTACTTGCTGTTTAAGGTTCACTACATCCTTCGAGGGGTATTCCGCTTTTCGCTATACACTGCCCTAAAGACTACAGTACTGGTTCCGCTGCCGAACGTACGTCCTACGACCTGCGGAGACTCTACGTGCCATTGACGTGACGGTGACGTTACGTTAGTGTAGATAAACCTTAAGTCTTACACTGTTTAACTTACTTATAGTAGAATTAGAAGAAACTATGAGAAGAGGAGCAGGAGGGATGAGAGAAGAGCAGGAGGAATAGTGGTAGGAAGAGAACAATTTTGAACATTGACCTGTGGAAATGAAGGAGAGACTGAAAATATATTTGGAGAAAAAGGAATTAAATTTAAACGCAGATAAATCTAAGATAATGATATTTAAGAAATGGAGAGGAAAAAAGACGAAAGAGATGTGAAAATGGGGAAAAAGCAAATGAAAGAAGTTACAGAATTGAAATACGTGGGATATACGTTTCAGAAGACCGGTAATAAAGGACATATTAAAAATCTGGTAAAGAGAGCGATGATAGCAATGAAACTAATATGAAGCATCGGTCAAAGAAGATTCAGAAACAATTTTGAGAAAAGACCAACGATTTTCAATAGCTTAGTTAAAAATCATACTATGCGGAGGAGAAATGTATGGATGAGAAGAGAGATACAAAGTATGTAAGATGGGCGTTGGATTAAGACTTTAATACACCAGCACAATGTATAATACTGGAAGAGACAAAAGTAGAGAAAATCAGAGTAGAAGCGGGAAAGAGGGGAACCAGGTACAAGCAGAAACAAGAACACATTCAGTAAATGAGATAATAGAAGAATGCTGGAAAGAAATCGACAGAAACGAATAGAAAAGACGGGTCGGATCGAAATGGGAGAAAGTAAGAGCCAGATATTGCAGTTAGAAAGAAATAGATGTGAAAGAATTAAATTATGTAAATTATGTAATAATTAATGGAGAAGAGAAGGGAATATGATAGCAAAAATAGTAGCAGAGAAAGATTTAAATATGCAGATACAAGAGATAGCAGATACAATCCAAGATTCTAAACAATTGGATAAGAGCAGAGACCGGAATACTTAAAATGAAAATACAAAGGAAGATATCAGAAGATGGTGGCGACATTTAGATGTCGAAATGAAGAAAAGATGAGTAGATATTGAAAGGGTGTACAAGAAAACGTACCATATACCTGAAAGAGTCAGAAACGTTAGAGCATATAGCAAATAGTCGTGAAGGAGAAAGCCAATACGTAAACGTATGACAATTATATGTATGTATTAAATATTATAATATTATAGACAGTTAGTGTATACAGAATGCAAGTATATTGTCAAAATTATTACAATCACCGAACTATTATTACCAAATGTACCCCCTTTTAAAGCCGAAGGGCAAGAAATATACGATTACCATAATGTTTTGGAAGTAGAATTTTTGTGAAAGCACAGGAAGTACAATTTTCGGAGTTGATTTATATGAAACTGTGCCATACGTTTTTCTGGTGATGCCCTCAAACGTTAAAGCCGCTGCGAGGGGCTTTGATGTTGAACACCGATCAAAATTTCATTATGATTTAATCGATGCTGGTTGAACAGTGCTGGAATGTGCATGTAATATACGAACAGAATGCACGACGTCTTTGTATATTCGGTACGTAAATTGGTATTACACGGGGAACATCTTGCGCAATCTAAAGCGAGATAATGAATTTAATTGGACGTAACACACTCATTAAATAACTTGATGATAATTATTGCGGATTAATTACTGCGAAATCGAGACAGTAATTTAAGATTTAATTGCAGTGGAAAAAGTTGATGAAATTTTTACTCGCCGGAAATAATTAAGCGGAAACTTGTTCCATTAGTTTCATTCTTGCATAACTTCTTCTCAGAAAGTAATTTGATGCTTCAGGAAAATTTCTATTATAGATA